TGTGAATATGTACTCGAGCACACTCTGGTGTGTGTGTGTATTCCGCCCTCATAGAAAATAAAGGCCTCATTCAGTCAGGGACAATGACATACACACGACGCTCATGTACGCTGAACACATACATGCTGCAGATAGAGACAATGGAAAGACAATGCAACAAGCATAGGTTGAGCACAAAGTCATACAGTGGTACTGTCCCTGGGTGCTCCCTCTGCACTTTCCCTCTGGCCCTGGGTGTTTCCACACAATGCGCTGATGCAGAGAGAGGCCTTCTGACCTATAAACAGGCCCAGCCAGCTACATGAGTAACACTGTGTGCATATGCAGCAGTATTTCCTGCAGGATGTTTTGTAGATGTGGTCACTGGGGTTACGTCTAAATGCACATCAGAGCCAGTTTTAGTATAGCAGGTTAAAAATGGCTGCTGTATTTTAGGGTTTCCTTGGATGACAGGAACAGTAGCATTACACCATCATACCATGCTATCATTTCCCTTAAAAACAGGCTCTTAGAGGCATGTTCTCATGTAGTTTTTCATGCAATAAACGGTAAAATGTTGTGAATTTACAGGATCACCGTACCCAGGAATCTTGTGGAACCTTCATTCTATTTAAGTGTTTTTCAGTGGTGGCAATTTTCCAGCTGTGGTGGCCAATCACAGTTAAACGAATGTTGGACGTGAAGCAAACACTACAAACGTGCGCAGCCAAGCATGCATTGGCAGGAGTCCGTGTACAATGGTGCATTTGTGTATGTGAATGTGCACATGTGCTGTGTTGTTAATCTTTGCCAGCTGTGCACGGCAGTCCCCCTGACCTCTGACCACTGTGTTGGAGCCAGTGCTGACTGCTTACTGGAGGACAGGGGGGCCTAGAGGTCTCAAGGAGCTGGGACCTCTTAGCATGATAACACTCATTAAGCCAGCACTCTGCAATGACTGATTGGCACCAGGCTTCATTTCCCCTACTCTCCTTTGTGCATACAGGTCTTTATATGAGAGAGAGGTGGTGGCGCAGGGAATCAGGAGGAGGGGTGGTGGCTTGGTCTTTTTATTAGTGGACAGGTTGACTTCCCCATCCTTCCAAATGATCCCTCAAGATGAAAATGCAGCTGGTGGTTAAAGATGGTGTCCTTGCTTTCATTTATTACTCGCACCAAAAAAATCAAAAAGCCCCGACTTTAGAGCCCTGACACACTCCGTAACCAGCCTTAATATTCTATTGCTTTGTTTTTTTATGCATTTGATTCAGAAAAACAAACTCATACATTACCAAATTAATAAACAGGACGATAATATGAAAGTCTAACCTCTTTCAACATAAAGCATGCCCACATGCATGCACACCCTTGCACATAAACACACACACACACACACACAGTGGGAGTGTAATCCTCTCAACAGGAGTGGGAATTTCACAGCAGCCGTGGGAGCGGGAGACCAAGATGACGCATGGACTGAGGCTGTGTCCCCTCGATGGAAAGCCAACACATACGCACATGTCCGCATACACACACACACACACACACAATGCAGCAGTGCTGATTAAGGGAATTTCCACCATGTGCATGGCAGACAGGAAAGAATAAGATCACTGAAGTAAAAAATAATAATTACAAAGGCTAAGTGATGAAAAGAACACTTCAAAACAGACATGCCTTTTCAAGTATGCGAGCATGTGTGTGTATGCTAATTGCCACATGCCGACTCTCGTCTCCTTTATTAGCAGACTCCAGGTTTTCTCCATATGAAGGGCACGAGGTGGCCTGCTCTCCAGCAGTTTGCTCCATATGGGGACTGTTACCATGCACATGTGTTTGTGTGCCTCCGTTATAACTTCATTAATCTTTAGTGTCATTAATCCTCTTGCCACATTACTATTGATGTGCGTCTTGCAAGGCTTCATTTCCAGTGTCTCCTGCGGTGAAGGACATATCTGGTGTCAAATCAGGTGACTACACGGACGTAGGTGTGTGTGCATGTGTGGGTTGTTTTGTTGACTGTCCTTCCCACTCTAAGCCTAAAGTGACTCTGCTCAATTTAGAGGCACAGAGGGAGACGGCCTGGCCGTAGGAGGGTGGATGAGGACACAAGAGCGCCAGAAGGGGATACTCCTGTGTAGAAAACTTTCTGATAATCAGCCTCTAAGGCCGGTCCATCAGATGGCACTAAGACCCGCTATATATACACACTTCCTTTAGCTTAAGCTCCAAATCTGTTACAGCTCTAGAGGATGGACATGCTATAAATACACAGCTTGACCACAAGTATCCGCATCCATATCTTTTTTCTCTCTAATTCAGGAATCCGACTCCGAGTCTGAGTGTGTGTATCACATGCACATATCAGTAGTCCATGTTAATTCCCTCTGTCCCCATAGGATCTCATCTGTATGAGACATTATATTTATCTCACCAGTGTAAATGACCGCACATAAACCCCCACCCTAAATTAAGCAATTCAATGCATTTCCCGCCTTTAATGGTATACGTTGGCTTTCTTTAAAGTGCTTATCCTAATCTTGGCTTCATTCGGCACTAAACATTAACAACAATCCGGGGACACACGACACAGTGAATGAGATGCTCTTTTTACTACAACAGCTATCAACAGTCCTCCAGAGATATGTGATGTCTGTAATACTGGACTCTAATGTGCTGAGGTCACTATGTTATAGTACAGATCACGAGATTGATTAGATGTACAATCAAGCAACACTGTGACCTAATGTCTCACTGTGAGAGCCAAAAACACAAATAAAATCAGCAGCATCTGTTGTGTATCTCAGATTTGATCCGTTTTATGGAACCGTTTCTACCTTGGAAAACACCAACTATTTTGTTGGTCTTGAAACAATTTGCTTTATTGACATGTCAGTCCAATCTGATTTACCTCATGCTTAACAAATCCAATTTGAAGGTCAACAGAGCAGATCTAGCCAGAGAAAGACTCAACTAACCATCGGATGCACAGTTTAAAATATGCACAAATATTATTCCTCACAATAAAGTGAGTGACTGAGGTTTTAATCAGAGTTGTACTGTACCTGATTTCAAAATACCTGACTAATGGTGTTAAAATGTCACATTCTCATGTGATATTAATACCTGAACTTGAAGCTTGGGGTCACGTCCAAAACAGTTTCAAACCAGTGTTGTGACACGCTAATGGGTTTGGCTGAGCAGGTGTCCATTGATATAACCTAAAGGTGTAAAGGTGTGACCGGCCAAATGGGTCAGTGTTGTAACTCCACTTTAGTAGCTAAACTTCTCCAGGTCAATAGCGCATGAAGGCATGTGGCCAGGGTCAGTCTTACGACATTTACATGTATTATAGACTTGGTTAAGTGCTATTAGTGCCTTGGCAGGCATGACTAATGCAATGTCTGGGTGAAACAGAGCCAGAGAGTTAAAGCTATTGGGGTCTATGTGTCTGAATGAAAAGCTTCCAGCAGGTCGTTGCTATAACTGGAATCAAATGCCAGGGTCACAGACCATATTCTCAATTTGTTTCTTTATAATAAATGTAGCCTCAGGAGTCTCTGTGTGTAATTAAGAGTCAAAACATTATTTGCTAAATATATGCACCAGTGCTAGTTTATCTACAACATATACTCACATCCCTTTTGCACATGGAAACCATGTCGCCACCAAGAAGGAAAATGCAGTGTACATACTTGGCCTCATGATGAAGCATTTTAAAGTGCTGCACTTCAGGAGTTCATGACCATAGGTGAGGGTTGGAACATTAAAGACTGAAAAATCATCTTCAGACTCAGCTTCCTCTTCACAAGAGTCCACTAAAATTGCTCCCGTTGTATAAGTCCAAACAAATCCCATTCGCCTCTTCCGTCATGCCACTACAGAGCCTTTTCACTACTTCGGTGACCTCCGCTAGAGAGAGTTAGGGCAATCTGGTTGCCTTGTTGTTGGTGCGCAGACTTAATAGGTTGGACATCCCTAAATCATATCCAACTGAGGACATTTGGTGCTTGTAATTCCCTGTCTCTCTCTCCTCTCATTTCCTCTCATCTCTTCCTGTTCATCATCTAATAAAAGGCATAAAATGCCCAGAATTATTAGAAAAAGAGGTATGCAAGTCTTCAAAGTCTGCCTTCTCCACAGCCAGGCTTAGGGGTTCCTTAAAGTGTTCCTTCCACAACCTTGACAGTCTCCCTAGTCGAGGTCAGCAGTTCTCCTCCCCTGCTGAGAGGAGCCTGGGAAAGGCACTGCCTGTTCTTCTTGAATTATCTGGAAAAGGAGCAATTTCATCCTCTGTCCATGAGTTGAAACCCAGGGACAGTGCGATCTCAGGCTCATTCCCCTCAAAAAAGATGACATGGCATGCCTCGAGAGCTAGTAGCCGGTCAGTTCACCAAAGCCCCTGCTTTTGTCCACTGACCCTGTACAAACGCACTTCAACTCTACAATTGTCCACCACTCAAAAGATTGTGGCTTCATGTTAACTGTGTTGAAATACCAGGTCTGACAGATTACTGCAGGTTCACTCATCGGGCCGGGTTTCAGAGGAGAACCAACCTGTTGTTGATTCATGAATCCCTCTTAGTCTGGCCCTCAATAACCAGTCAATGATTTCGAATTAATATATTTCATCTATAAAAGTTAATTTTTTCTCTCTTACTTAATTTCATCCCTCCATTCAAAGTGCAGTGTGGATTTACATTATCGCCTTGGCCATTCTAAATCGACAAAAACGTTTTTGTGTCATTTGATTGGAAGGCCTCTGTAAATTAGTCATTCAACCCGAGCATGTAGGCTCTTTAAATATTAGCATATGGTAAATGTTAATGTGAATATGCTGCCCTGTCAAGTCTACAGATCCTTATCATAATCATGAGCTCGCCTGGTGTATTTGCTGATCCCCACAGAGGAGAAGTTAAAGGTTAGGAACAGGAGCAAATAGTGATGAATGAAAATGCACTCCCACATACAGATACACAAAGAATCAAAAACACATTCAGCGTATTTCTCTGTCATCATACCTGAGAGCCCTGCTCAGTTTGTCGTAGTTCATTTGGGGTTTACACTTCCTGGCCCCCCACAGCCGGGCCACCTCATCCGGGTCCTTGATGACGAACTCGCCGTAGTCCCCCTGCCAGGCGATGACGTCATGGTACTCTTCTTTCCTGAGCAGCTCCAGGATGAAGTGCCACAGCTGGATCTGTCTGGACCCGGGGCTAGACTCAGGCTTGTAAGCCCATTCTGGGAAGGCGATCCCTGCAACAGAGAGGTAAAGAGAGGGGAACGATAAGCGCGCGTCACTGGAGCTCAACGAATAACACTGAATGATGTTACGACGAGCACATATTATAAATTTCACTGGGAAAAAAAAACTTGTAATACCAAACAGGTGTCGAGCAAAGTATAGATCACATACAACAGAGCAGCACAGTCAAGCACAGAGTGGAGTGTCCTCATTCATATCTCACATGTAGCTGTGTTCACTACTGTCAAGTCTTCACAGGATTTTTCCTTTCAGTCAATCTTTGAAACAGGTTTGTAGGTTATTCTCAAGCACTTTCTCTTTCATTGGACAGTTTGACACCATGGAAGAGGAAGAGGAAGGGCAGGGAAAAGTAAAGACCTCAAAACAATCTGAGAAACACTAAAACATGCCTTGACCTGCTACATCCCAGGATGCCCCCGTAACTCTAATAGTCTTCATCTTACAAGACGGTCTAAAAGTATGTCCACATTAAGATGGCTGAATTTGTAAAGACCTGATTCAGCCCTCCATCCAGACAAAAACTGTGTTTTTTGTGTTAATTTTAAAACGCTGCCTGGTATTTCAGCATGTGTGGGGTAAACAGAACTTTCCCAAAATTATTTTATGAAGCTGCTATAAAAGACAGATTTGTATAGCTGCAGCAGGCTGCTTGGATGTGACTGCTGGTTAACAGGTAGTAATCATGGGCAGTGACTGAATAACTGTTTGATACTCGTTCAGTTGTCTGACAACAGAAAGAGAAAACTATGTAAATGAAACTATACTATTGAATCTGGCTGTCTTAAAACGCTATAGATGACCACAGAGAGCGAGAGGACACTGAATGGAGGTGTAACCAGGCCTCCAGATGCAGCTCTGGGCTATGAAGCCAATTTGACACCCAAAAACACTTTTCCCCATAGACTTAAATTGTGAAAGAGACATTTATAAATGAATGGATATATTTTTTGAGCATCACAACAACTATCGGGAGTGATCTATTTGGTCTGATAACATCTCTACACTCTGGAACAGCTGCACAGTAAAATAATATTATCCTTGTTCAAGACAGCAGAGGGCCAAACCAGAGGTTCACCGCTTGACTGGCAGAAGTCTTTAGTGCGCTTGCTCTATGGGCCCCACGATGAGGAAGATAATAATTAATATTAAAGGTAATTTATGTCTATACTCTTGTTACAGGAGGGGGCTGTGTGGCAGCAAAGTTAAGAGCCAACTTTGTGTCTAACCTTTTCTGCATTTGTGCATTTAAAATGTCAATACAGTCGATATTACGGGACAGCTGTTGTTATTGACCTGTATTTATGGTTTTTACCAGATGTTGGCTGTGATACAGTTTTGCTTTCTGCAGAATGAAACCAGGGCCAAGACGGAGATTAGGCCCTTGTGTTGTTCAGGTGTTCCACTGTGGCCAGAGGTCTCTACAAACATGATCTAGAAATGCAAGTGGAGATGCAAATAAAAATGTAGACAGCTAATGTGGGGGTAAAGTGATGCTTTTGTATAAACCACATTGCTCTACTGTCATTACCACAGTGGCTCTTCACAGGAAACACACACACATACTGAAACTACAATACTGAAAGTTGTAGTGTTAGTGGGCTTTATGGAACAGCCAGGCACATTAAAAAAAAACCTTTCCACCTCTCCTCCACCTCTTTCCTCTCATGCAGTCATTCTTTCCTATGACCGGAGGAAAACAACATGGCCAGTCATCTCTCCTGTCTATCCCTCCATCTCTCTCCACCCGTCGCTCGAAGGAAACGCAGAGTAAGAGACAGAACGAGACTGTGGGCGTGGGTATATGACTGTTTGCATGAGCATGTGTGTGCCCAAATGTACAAGTTAGAAAGAGTTTATGTGCCAGTGCTCGTGTTTGAAAATGTTTGTGCAAGTCTCCCACTAACATTCTGTCGCCTGGGTGGTCAAGAAAATTTGACACGACCGAGCAAAATAGACGATTACAGTATAATATTCAGCCAGATATAGCCTGGCCTGGACTTTATTTTATCAACAATCATCCTTATGGTACTGAATATTGCACAAATGAGGACGTGGAGTTACCAAAGAAATAGTATCCACCCTGCTACAGTGTCGTGCAGGAATTTTATACATGCTGATGTTGTTTTATAATGTTTGGTGCGAATAATGTTCAGCATCACATTACACTGAAGAAGCAGAAAACTTAAATTAAGCGTATGATGTAATTAAATGCAATATAATGGAGGATAAGTGCTCTTTACCTATTTTTTCCACGAGTTACATATAGAGGATTATCTGATATATGCTCAACGTTAGATACGTATATGGACATGGACTGAGCTTTCTGTCTGTACTCTGCGTTCAATCGGTTTGTATTTGTGCACAGTTTTTGAAAGCTTACAGACAAGGACAAAACAGAGCAGTGCCACTGAGATCGTGGAGGCATTGTAGCAAATTTCAAGCAAGGCAAAAGCATAGCACACAACAAAGACACTTTAAAAATGGCAGAATGGGGTGAATCAGTATGATAGTGAAAAGAATTCTCCGTCCACATGTTGTTTCGTATTTAATGGCCTCACAGACCATCTTTGTCTACAAAGCTGCCTCGGTTAAAGGTATCACAACCTCCTTCACTGCCACTATGTTGGTTGTTGTCAAAAATTTAAGACGAAGCAGCAACCTCTGCTCTACCAAAAACTGCAGTTCTTTACAGCAGAATTATACATGTTTACAGCTGTGTACAAAAGACAGTTTTGGTCTCGATAACTAATTTCCCCTTCATGACAGCTGTACGGGTCGCTAATTTTTTTTATAAACACACCTGTTTACATTTTATTAAGGCTTCAAGTTACGCATAATTAAGGGCGGGCTGCTGTGTGACAGGATGTCTGCCATTAGTGTCCTCAGAGTCTCAGTCAGATCCACCCCTCGCTCCTACACAGTGCCAGCCTCTCGCCCAAATATGGTAACTTCTGGCCAAAACCAAGATGGCGACAGCTGAAATTCGAACTTGAGGCTTCAAAACGGGAGTCCACAAACTAATGGGTGACATTACAGAAGCTACATCAATTATTTTTTACAGTTAATGCTATTGACTCTGCCCTCTAGTGACATCTAGTGGATGTATCTTTCAACATAAAGGGCAGTGACGGTAATGTTTGAAATAAACAGATCAGTTTTGTACATATACAGAGTATAAATGAGCTTTAATAAAGCAACTTAAACATCCCTCTGTCACTGTCAAAATTAATTCAAAGCTATAACTTATAAAACTAGATTTATAAAATGGTTCAATGCAAAGAAGAGGGCCTTCAGAGCTGGTAACAGGGAGGAGGTGAAAATAATACAGGGGGAGCTGAAGATGAAGATCAGGGAGGCTAAGGAGAGGTACAGGAGGAAGCTGGAGAGGAAACTCCAGCAGAACAACGTGAGAGAGGTCTGGAGTGGAATGAGGACCATCACTGGCTTCAGGACCAACAACCACAGAGGAGTTGAAGGCAGCATGGACAGGGCCAATGAACTGAATCTGTTTTTTAACAGATTTGACACTGCTGGCCCTGCCCACCCCCCCCCTGACTCTTCTGCTGTCTGTCTTGGTCAACCATCTCCCACTCTGCCCTCCTCCCCCACTCCTCCCTCTCACACCTCAACACCCTCCTGCTTGACCCCCCCTCCTCCTCCTCCTCCTCACACCTCATCCCCCCGTGGTCAGACTGACTGCTCTCTCCATCATGAGGACTACACCCCTCC